GATGCAAATTCCCAACTTGCATGCAGTTCACTAAAAGTCACATTAAGCATTTCTTATTGAGCTAGGTGACTAACTAGTTAGGTTGTGACACTAAATGAGAAACAAAACAAAACAAAAGCTGTATAGGAGCTGGTTTGCTTGTCACCTCTCCTTCTGTGTCCATCTTTTTCTATGTTCGTGCAGTCTATGGCTGAGCGCCCTCCTCACCCTCTCCACCCTGTTTTGTAGTGGGATAACAAACAATGGCCTTTTTCTGCTCTCCCTCAGTCCTCTTCATTTTCATCAGAGTACAGTATGACAATAAGACCCCTACCCATTATTTAGAACAGGCAGACAGAACATGATCCAAGATGAAGCATCTGCTGCAGTGATGTCAGATGACAGTTATGAAGCAGATTATAAGGCTTATAGCCTGAACTCACTGCCTCCAGTTCCCTCTCCTAACATCTTAACTATGCAATCCTTGTGTCTTTCACTGCAGGCTTCTTATGAGTTTTTTAACTTTATTTTTTTTGGTCTATTTTGTTTGTTTGGTTTTTTTTGTTAGTTTCCTTTAAGTTGCATTCAAGATGATCTGAAATGTCGCCTCACTGCTCTGTCATAACTACACAATGAAAATTGTCACAAATACACCTGTGAATTTTTTTTTCTAAACCCCAGACAAAACCCAATTTGTTGCAACCCTCTAAAAATCCAGGGGATGTGGTGAAATAACCAATATGATTTTTGTTTGTTTAAATGTGGATCTAAAACCAATTCTATTGTTTTTCTTGGTCAGACTTTACATATGCTGCTTCAGCTAATATGTCTTCTGTGTGTCCTTTACACAAAAGAACTTGCAATATGACATAGCATTGTCATATTGAACAGAACAAAAGTTACAAAGTCATGAATTTAATTCTGCTTTCATTACATTTTTGTGGTGCTGGATGAATATAAATAATTTAATTTGATATAATTTAGATTTTTTTAAACACTCAAATGTCTGTGAAGGTTCTCAGTCACTCAAAAACAAAACACTCAAATGTAATCTGCAAATAAAATAGCAGGTCAACCTGTTGTCAGTAGGTTTACCTCCTACTATGTCCATAGCTTCTGTTGCTATATGCTCTTTTAGCCTTTATCTTCTTAATCTGAGTCCTCTGCTCGGTATTAATAGCTCTGGTTTTAGCAGAAAGAGCAGGGAAACAGAGCAGACTGAGAGAATTGAGGGATTGTTGCCTGAATTCACATTGGATTTTGTGCAATGTGCAGCTCAGCGAATCTCCTTTCAGCCCATTGATTTATAATAGCATTCAACCAATGACAGCTAAATCTTTAAATTCTCTATGTTTAGTTTAGGGTTGGTTTTTTTTCTTCTTCTGTCCTCATTTGATAGCAGTAAGATATTAATGTTAATATTTCAGATATATTTCAGTGTGGAATCAACTCCTCCTTTAATTCACCAGCTCTGTGATGGCATGTCTAGTATGTTATGTGTACTTGTCAAATAATGAAAGGAACATTTGGATCACACATGAAATCTTGATCAATGAAATACTACTGACATAAAACATGTAATACTTTGAGAACAAATAATAGTGACTGGGAATTAAAATCACCAATATGTGATTTTATATGTGAAGATATATATGTGAGTTTAGTAGTCACGGTTTTCACAGTTTTTTTTTAAATTTGTTTGAGCAGAACCTAATTCCTCCTAAACTTTGACCTTATTCATGAAAACTTTTTCACAAGTCATACTAAAGAAATCAGGTGATTTGATAAACACAAGCCCAGCATCTGGATAATAAATAGTCTGTACACAAGGCAAACAGTCATACTGAGAAAACTTCATGTTATAATTAAAACCTGATTTTAAGCCATGATTTTGAGGTTTTACCGTGATTTTGCTGCCCACTAAAGTGAAAATTCACCCACACCTTGATGCTTTAGAGTCAGGATTATTAAAAAATATTAGTAAGAAGGAACTCAGATATCTCTGGCTGCTGAACCAGGGTGATCTGCTGTTATGGGGGTGTTGAAAACACACATGCTGAGTTTGTAATTATCTCTTGAGAGTCTCTCAGTTTGCATTCTCATCTATCTATTTTAATCCTTCTGCTACTGTTCTCTATTCAGCTCCTCCTTGTTTTCTCCCTCAGTCATCCTTTCTTTAATAATCACGCTTTGACTATCCACATAAATATTTTTAGTCTCTCCTGCTAAAACTGTCAACTGCACCTGGAGACCTGGTGAATTGATTACTGCTGATTTACTTTTTAAAAATATTTATCTATTTACTTATTGTTGAAGGCTGCACTTTTTGTTTTTAGTGTTATTAATGATGGTTAGTTCTTAGTGATTCTGCAATTGTTTAAAGAAAAACTGCTGAATTGGAAAAGTTCAGCTGGTGTCAAAGTCTGGAAGAAGGATACAATTAGAGAAAAAGGTTTATGTGTTTGTGTAAAGAAACAAAAACTCCAGGAGAGACTGAAATAGGGAGAAAATCAGGGGAGCAAACAAGAAGAGGTAGAGTGAGTGATGGGTACAAAGTGTGTACTTGTCTTAAAGGGGATGTTTCACATGATAGCATGTTCTGCAGCATTGCCACCAGCAACCCACTACCCCATCCTCCATGTCCCCATGGCAAACCCACACACACACA